CAGCGTTTCGCTGACGGGGCTGTGGAGCTGTTCAGATTTTAGAACGAGAATCAAGTTTTCAGTTCACAGGTGAACAAAAGCTGATCGTCAAATAGAGCTCGTTTCTAATTTCATTTTATTTTTTATTTCAGGCGTAATTTCACGCACGTCTCGGTACTTGACCACGAAATCTGCCGCGCCGCGTGACGGACCGAATCATTCGATGATCAGAAGCCAGCGACCAGCGAAGGGACTTGCCGTGACTGTTAAGTTCTTTGATCAAATCTGCCCGCAAGACTGGAAGATTCCCGGAACTTTGGCTCTCAGGTTTTAGTGACGACCAAGAAAAGGCTACAAATTCTGTTCGAAATTCCAGCAATGATAAAATAGTCAGCACGATATTCATGCTTTGATTGTTATTGAACGAACTCGAGTCTTATCAGAAGAAAAATAATTTCGCTAGGCTACATTTTCCAAGTCATTAAAAAAGCTGACGAAATAAGCGGTGCTTGCATCAGGGAAGCTCGACTTGATCCATCTGAATAATGGTTCACGAATAATGGTAATTCTAATGGTTCGGGAACAACGAACCATTTTTCAGTGCTGATGGAATCTGTTGCGTTAATACTCAATTATCTCGCTCCGTTATGATAGTTCATCAAAGGATTTTAATAAATTTTGGGGACAAACTTGATAAAAATTAAATGTACATTTTTGATGGGGCTAAGTTTACCAGTGTATTTATTGTTTACGTATATATTTAACATTGGTGTAGTTTGGCAGAAGATTTTATTTAATGCAGGTTTCATTGAAGACCAGAGAGTATTTCTTATTGACAATTTTCTTATTGTTTTTCTCTATTCGGCAAATTAGGCTCTTGATAGGAACTGAAAAGTCAAATATCAGGTTTCCAAGGGACATTTTATTATAATTTTAATTTTACGACGTTTCGAAACAGATTGGAATCAAAGCTTGAATTACGAGAACAATTTTAACGTCCTGACAAATCCGGTAGTTTGTAAATTAATAGCTGGAGACTCCTGCTTGATGATGAGAGCCTCAGCTATGGCCAGTCTCGTGGCGTCTGGGCTGGCCATAGCTGGCGTCTCGTGGCGTCTATGGCCAGTCTCGTGGCCAGTCTCGTGGCGTCAAATTCACTTGTTGCAAAACTCGTCCTCTACTTGATAATGAATGAAGTTGCATTCGAAACGTCGTAAAATTAAAATTATAATAAAATGTCCCTTGGAAACCTGATATTTGACTTTTCAGTTCCTATCAAGAGCCTAATTCGCCGAATAGAGAAAAACAATAAGAAAATTGTCAATAAGAAATACTCTCTGGTCTTCAATGAAACCTGCATTAAAGTATATATTTAAGTATATATGGAGATATTTTATATATTTATATGTGGACATATTTGATCACAGTCTGATGGCAGTGAATATTGCATCAAGAGAAATGCCTGTATCATGAATTGAAATACCTAACCCACCGGTAAATTTTTTAGAATGCAATATGCTTTTTAAACCTTGTACTGCATAGTTGCAACCGTACTTACACTTGTTACGATTATAGCGTGGTAAAATTGTGCAAGGGAAAAAAATAGATCGGAAATTTGGAATAATAAAACGAATAAAATTAAGCATCATTGGGCGGATGCTATTCAGCGCGAATTTCTTCACGGCAATAAAGCTTTTCTATAAGGCGTCCAGGATGAGATGTGAGGATCCTCGGGTTACGATGATCGAAATTATAATATGGCCTCCAGTGGTCTTATTGAATAATGAATGAAGTAAATGATGAATGATTCAATAATGAATGAAGTGAATGATGAATGAATTGAATAATGAATGAATTCTAATAAGATCAACAGCGGAACGGAATAAGTAACACGAAATGCCTCGTCTCAGCCTTCAAATATTCGCTAGTTTTATAGCCATGCTAGCCAACTCTGTCGGCAATAAGAACCCGTTACGGGGCATGACTTGATAGCCTCCTTCCTGGGGCCGTCCTGTCAAAACCCGCGTAAGTTAACGTAGTCTCAGATTTCTCGTCTGGGATTGGTGGGTTCAGATTGAAAAGCCGTCAGTGATTGGCCGTCAGAGTTTCGATCTCGTAACTGTTTTTGGAAGTACGACCCCTGGTAGACAACGCGCATGCAAACGATGGTTCTGAAGAATATCCTATCAGGACTTTATATGAATGGTTACTTCTCTCATGACGATGTGTTCCGAGAAATACGGGCAAAATTGTAGACGTATTCCAAAGAAACGAACGAAATTATAGAAGTGTTACGAAGATACTAACAAAATTGTAGACGTATTACAAGGAAGCAAACAAAATTGTGGACGCTCTACGAGGTAGCGAATAAAAACGTAGAAGTGTTACGAGTAGGCAAACAATATTGTAGCCGTGTTGGAAGGAAGAAGCAAAATTGCAGACGTGTTTCAGTGAAAATTCAAAATTGCACGTCTTTCGAGGCAGAAGCAAAATTGCAGACATGTTTCAAGGATATGCAAAATTAAAAACGTGCTTCGAGGAAGAGGCAAAATCGCGGAAGTGTTTACAGGAAGAGGCAAAATTGCAGAAGTGTTTCGAGGAAGAGGCAAAATTACAGACGTGTTTCAAGGAAGACGTAAAATTGCAGGCGTGTTTCGAGGAAGAGGCAAAATTGCACACGTGTTTGGAGGAAAAAGCAAAATGGCTGACTGCTTGCGGCTGGGGGTCGTCGGGAGACGAAGACGGCGCACCAGTGTGGCCTGGGGCTCCACCGTCCAGCATTAACAAAGGAAATGGCAACTGAAACTCAATTAAGCTGGGCGTTGCAAGCTGCAGTCGTGAGTTGGGTGATGATTACTGCAGTCGTAAGTTTAGCGCTGATACGGTAGTCGCAAGTTGAACGATGATTTCTGCAGTCGTATGGTGGTCGATGAGAACTACAGCCGTAAGTTGGTCGATGATCAGTTCAAGTGTGTCGTTCATGTTTGCGGCGGTTGGAAGGCTTCAAGCAAATTGAGGCGCGTGGCTCTTGATTGCAGCTACGTGGGTGAGGTGCGGGCGAGACTGTCGGCCTGTCGCTAGACTCGGAGTTGTGGGGTCATTTCGCTTCATTGTCAGATTGTTTGCAGGAAAGCTTCGGTCATACCATGTTTATCCGCTCATCTTGTCGTGACGGGACACAACTGCATGCTCCAAACACTAAATTCCCAGCATTCGGGTCTCTGAATGCTTCGCAGTGAACCCCGAAAGCTCCCACGACTTATCGGCTCTGCTCTGCGGATACGATCGGTACACTTATTGTACGGTGTCAATATTTGCGACGGAGTAAGCGGTCGCCAGGTGAGGCGAGAGCGTTATTTAAATTAGAACGGAAAGCCACGCGTGAGTCGACAACGAGATTGAGAACTGAATTTAATTTAACATTTAACGATGTTAGGCTAACTAGTGACGCTAATTTTGCTAGCTTAAATTCCCATGCCGACTTGGAGCAGGAATGATTTATTTCCATTTCTATATGGAAGTAAATGATGTTATAGTTCCACGCACGTAATTAATTTAAAAGTAAAGCTAGCCGGCTTATGACTTCGTTGAAGGAAAATAAAAATATGGACGACTTTTTTCACTATATCTTCACGTTATATTTAACATGAATAAAGATATATTTATATACGCCACACGAATAAAAGGGTGAAACAATCAGACTTGGTACTATCAATTTAATAAACCTGATGATTTTGTAGTGGAAGTGACCGACTGGTTACTGCATCGGTCGATCTGCAGGTATGGCTACTGAATTGGTGGTAGACGTGACCTGATGGTCCATCGCTGCCAACCTCGGAGACTATTTAGCGATGGTTGTAAGTTCCGATCCACAAGCTATCGTAATATCCAAAGTTCTCACACATTGAAAGCAGCGAAGTGTCAGAAAGTGCACGATAAAGATACGAAACTAACAATAAATTGCCAATTTGGTATTTAAAAGTAAGATCATGAGCCAGAATCATGGGCGAGGGGCCCTTACTGTAACAAGCGATTTCATATATTCTTTTTACCTCAAAAATGTTTCCAATTAAGTGCACATCAAAATGATATCAACTTTTCATTAATCAATGAAAACACGAGAATTAATAATATACAAACCATAGAGTAAACAAACACAAGCACTAGTACACATTTTTAAATCAATTTAATTGATGCAAGTCGAAATTGCCATAACGTAAGACAGTTGCCAGCATAACATTGCTTCTATTATTATTACTATTATTATAATTATCATCTAAGAATACGCCTTTAATAATGGATAACAACAGAGGAGTGTCGGACAAAATTATTGCGGTGTGTTTTCTCTAGATAATTCAAATGCAACACACAGAGAATGATCTAATGAGCAGTCCAGCGAATTACAACAATACAGGACCGCTATAATTCCAGTACTGAGGTGCAAAGTCATATTACCTTATAGTTAACTCATCATCATGCATCCGTTAGTCCAGCGTCGCTCACCATAATTGAGCGATTACCTCCCATGACACGTCTGCCTGCACTCTTGCTTTAGACTCGTTTATGGAGAATCGCGGCGGCAGAACAAAACCAAACTTTTGTATGGTGTAAGAATGATGCTAGTTCTGTGCGGTGTAATACAGAGGCTAGTTCTGTGTGGTGTAAAAATGATGCTAGTTCTGCGTGGCGTAATACAGAAGCTAGTTCTGTGATGTAAAAATGATGCTAGCTCTGTGTGATGTAATAAAGAGGCTAGTTCTGTGTGGTGTAATATAGAGGCTAGTTTTATTTGGCGTAATGAAAATTCCAGTGCTGTGTGGCGCAAGAAATTAAGAGGCTACTACTGTGTGGCGCAATAAAGAAGACAGTGTTGTGCGGCGCAATAAAGAGGCTACTGCTGTGTGGCGCAATAAAGAAGACAGTGTTGTGCGGCGCAATACAATAAATAGGCCAGTTCTGTGTGGCGCAATGAGGCTAGCTCTGTGTGGCGCAATAAAGAGGCTAGCACTGCGTGACGCAATAAAGCTGTTGTAAGGTTGATAACCGTGCTGGAAATAACGGGCTGGATCGTCACAATTAGCTTGAACTTTTACTTCGACTTTTAGCTTCGCTATTCCGCCGCACCCTCCTAACCTGTAAGTGAAATTTCGAGTAAAAGAATCAACCACTCGAAATTTTTTTATTAATTTGTCGCATGCAAACGTGGACTACAGAGACGCTATTCGAGTTCAGGACAGAATCTTTACATTAGGTGAAACATTTTACTGATGATACTCAATGCAACTCGATCCTACTGTCATCCTCTAGATGATCGAATGTTGACTTCCGTCTAAGCGTTTTTGAAACACAAGACTGGGTAGTCGGTGAGCATATTTTCAGCCACTTGTTCGATGTATTTGTCGGCGTTGAGAAGACTCTTGGGGCCCTTTTGAATCAAGGGCACTACCAAGTCTTTGGCGCTGAAGGCTTTGTCGGTGACCCTGGTGCCGTCCGGCCAAACGTACACAGGCTGTCCTGCGACGTTTACTTTGAAGGCGGAGAGCCAAGCGTATTTCCCGATCAAAAGGAAGGCTCCTTTGGCTGGCGCAAGCAAGGGAGGAGAATACAGACTAAACATAATGTTAGAGATAAACAAACCGCTACGTTTTATATTACTAAAATGTTAACTTACACCTCTTGAAATTTCTATGGTGGTATTTATGTTCAAGTTAAATAAGCATTAACAAACTTTGATATACCTTAATTACTGCACACATCCATCTCCTGTTGGGCACACATGCTTCTAATTTTCTAAGCCTCGTGCCAAATTCGATCAAACTAACAATTGGGATCAGAACCAAAATTCTTTGTCGTTTCTCAATTCCGCTGTCACCAAATTGCTGAACCGTTTGCAGACAAATTTTCGAAATTATGATTTTCTTTCAATCACACCACGGCCTGTACACCGGGACTTTAGAATGCGATCCATTTCAGTTTAAAAATAGTTGTCGCGAACTGATCAACTAAGCGATAGGAAATTATTAAGATTTCAATTATGGGCATATTAAGCATGACAGGGAGGGTCTAAGCCTCAAGTTTTTATGAACAGGAGGGGCTAAGCCTCTAAGATTTATGATCATATGCATGTAAGTAATGATTGGTTTACGATTACATTTTTCGCCCATATCCAGGCTACATATTATTGAATTTGTCGAAAAAAAAATTGCAAGTAAAAAGCGTTATTGTAGAATGAGCATAAAACTATTTAGTAGGCTTGAGAAAATTTTAGTAGAACTGAAGCGCCTAAAATGGGCCTAATGACCCTTCAAGTTGTCATCCTTAGAATTTTGGAATTTTATCGTTTCTTTGCCCGTTTTTTCCTTTTTACTCCACACTTTTCTTCGTTTGTACGTTTTAGTTGAAAATTTTACTTTTCTATATTCGTGTAGAAATTTTTTGCTTCTAACATGATAGTACTTCCAAAACTTGGATAAATGAATCACCTTTCAAATTAAGTTAATGATTCATTCAAAAATCCAATAATTTGTTGAACTTCAGTAATTAATACTCACCTTTCACCAGGTCCACAGCTTGCTTGCGGACAGCCGAGGTTTTGATGATCAGTGGCCACCCGCCCTCCTCGGCGCCAATCGCCTCCATGCAGCTTCCTCAGAGTGCCGTTTTTGGTGTAGGTTTTTGACATGAATAAATGCATCGAAGCCGAAGAAAACGCTGCAGTACATGCAAACAAACGACAATCACAGAGACCGTATAAACGCTGCAGTACATGCACACAAACAACAATCATCGAGAGACCGTATAAACGCTGCCGCACATGCACACAAACAACAATCATCGAGACCGTATAAACGCTGCCGCACATGCACACAAACAACAATCATCGAGACTGTATAAACGCTGCCGCCATGCGCACAAACAATTCTGGCAAGCGTCAAGCGTATCATGATAATCCGGATTGCTTTGAGCGATAAACTGGACTTTATCTCCCAAATCTTATTCCAATTATCATAGAAATGAGTCTCAAAAGTATTTTGTGAACGGTAAATGTAAAGTTTCTTCTCAAACAATTGTTAATTTTTTTATTGGCCTATTCATGGGAATTTCACTCATCCGTTCCTGAAATGTAATAACCTCTGCGACCTTCATCAGATTCATGCTGATTAACATCGTGGCCAACGTTCAGATTATTTTTAGTTGTTCTTAGCCTTTAAGAATACAGCTACAAAATTTCGATGCGTTAGCAATTATCAGTACAAACTTGTTAACTTGTAATGTTTGTGTAGTACATCTTGAAAAAATCCTTGTACAGTATAGTCAAAGATAGTAGTTAATTTTGCTACGTAATTTCGTTCATTCAAATTTTTCCATAACATTGAAAACTAATAATGATGTCGGAATCATGGAGATTCCTGAAATATAACAAGTGATACAGCACGGAAGCTCATTAAGACAGAAGTGTCTTCGAAAGTGAACGGCAGAATTTGTGCCTGGCAGACCACTCACGGTACTTTAAGAAGGCCAGGCAGATCACTCACGGAACTTTAAGAAGGCCAGGCAGACCACTCACGGTACTTTAAGAAGGCCCGGCAGACCACTCACGGAACTTTAAGAAGGCCAGGCAAAAGACTCACGGAACTTGAAGAAAGCCAGGCTCAACACTCATGAAACTGGAAGAAGGCCAGATAGAACACTCACGGAACTTGAAGAAGGCTAGGCAGAACACTCACGGAACTTGAAGAAGGCCAGGCACAACAATTACGGAACTTGGAGAAGGCCAGGCACAACACTCACGGAACTTGAAGAAGGCCAGGCCCAACATTCACGGAACTTGGAGAAGGCCAGGCAGAACACTTACGGAACTTGAAGAAGGCGTAGCAGAACACTCACGGAACTTGAAGAAGGCTGAGCTGCTGGCCAGAGGTCGGGTGGTCACGGTTGTCGCGTCGCCGTCAGTGAGGCGGCAGACGTCAGCCACGGGGTCGTAGGAGCCGCCGGTACACCCGCTTCGCTGCTGACACCGCATGTGGCACTCGCCTGGACACAAGGCAGCCGCTCACGCGTGGCACACGAGGTTTGGCCTTGCATGAATTTTATAGCCCTTGATAGTGGAATCATTCGGTCTACGCTGTGATAAGTTTGAGTGAAATATGTTGATGTAGAGTAAGCCTCATAAGCCGGCAGGTGTGATTTTAAGGATTTATTGTCTTTCTATTTCCATAAACTTTGCTGGTTATAGGGTAACATGGGGCAGCGGGCCCACCCTTTTTTAAATTGAATTTTTGATGAAGTTTTAATTGATACGAGGTGGTTCTTTGCTTTGTTTAAAGGTACAACTTATGAGGAAAGTATGATGTGAATTAAGCGCCTATAGAGTTATTCAATTTTTTAATAAAACACTATTTTGCAAAAAGTGTCAAAATGGGCTCATTGCCCCACCCCTAGAGCAATGGGCCCATGGGCTTAGGGCAAAGCGCCCACCCTTGGTCCCTCTACAACAATTGTATATTTTCCGTTTCAAAATGATAAAACAACACTCTACAGTTAAAAATAAGAAAAACGTAATAAAAAATATGACATTTATTAAAATAAAATATGACATCATTTATTAACAACTCAAAAAATCATATTCTTTACTTGAAAAAATATACTCTTGGCATAAAAAATCAGTCACTGACGTGAATAAAAATATTTCATTGACATAAAAATATATATCCTTGACTTGAAAAATATTTCCTTGCTATAAAAAATTCGTCCTTGACATGATAAAATGTATCGTTGACTAGAAAAATATATTTAGATGATCAGAAAGAAAAACTTCGTTCCAGTTTCGTCCATAATTCGAATATTATGTGCAGAGCATTTGTACCTAATCGTGTTTTCAGCCAACACCATAAAAACTCATCAACTTTTGGCTCATTTGTGTTGACTGAAATGAACTTTTGGCAAGGCAAGAGTCAATAATTCGATAAGGGGGTCATAAATATGCATAACTATAAACTAAACCTGCTGCCTTGACGCGGCAAATCAAAAAATCATGCTATATGAAGTGTAATTTGTAATTCAAAAAGCTAGTCATAGTTTTGAAAAGGTCACTGCCCAGTTAAAATTTAGGGCAGGGAATAGAGCAGGCCGTCGCCGGCTGCAGAGCCGGCGTAGAGACGCGACAGAGCAGCGATAGAGCAGAAATGTCCGCTTTAGAGACGATATCGCCAGCCGCGTATCAGCGCTAATTAGCTTCTGAGTACCTGCCCAGGTGTGCTCCTGTCTCTTATACACATCTAGATGTGTATAAGAGACAGACTTCACCATGGGCGCTTTGCCCCGTGACACGCGTGGGCCCGTTGCCCCCACTAGGTATCATTTCAATTTATATCGTGTCAACATTTTATTTTAAAAGCTAATAGTCTAAACTTGATCTCAAAATTATCCCTATAAATATTACTTTCAAAATATAATTCGCAGTAATTTCAAAAGGTTCATCTACAGTTATCAAAAACAATTTTATTTAGCAGCAAAAAAAATTTTATCTGGGCTAAAACAGTTGTTCACAAATAACTTAATAACGCAAACTCTTAGCAAAACGTAAATCCGTACACTTCATCCCAGTGAAACTATCGACCGGCGGTAGAGAACACGGACCAATATCTGCCATACTTAGCGAGAAACCCGCTATGGGCCCATGACCCGCAGTGGCTGTCCCATGTTACCCTAACAAACGACTATTTTTTTTAACTAAGTATTATGAATAAATTCGCACAATTAATGTTCTCTCAGTTGTAGTGAAATAAGCCCACCAAATTATCAATAATGTCATTACATATAACTACAGTATTATTTTATTTCTTTAAAGTAATCTGCAAAGTTAGGAGCATTATCGTTAGTCAGATTGCGATACTCCTTGATGTTTGATTGAGCTCTCAAATGAGCTGTACTATCTATAGAATAAACCATGGATTCGACTGTAACTACAGGGTGCGCCACAGAAACTTACTTATTTGAAAGGTCGATAAAAACAAAAGTACTTCAGTTATCGTTTTAAATTTTTTTTATTCGAGAAAACAGTATCCCAAATTTTTTTTTCATACAGTTTTGAAAATTAAATCTCATAAATGACGGCCTCCATTGCGCATAAACTAATGAAGTCGCTTTTTCATAATGGTTTCCACTCTATGCAGCATATCAATCGGTATTTTGGCAATGACGTCGCGAATGTTGTTCTTGAGGTGTGCTATGGTCCGTGGTCGATCGACATAAACCAGAAATTTCAAAAATCCCCATAAAAAGAAATCGCATGGAGTCAAATCTGGTGAGCGTGGCAGCCATTAGAGATCGCCTCTGAGAGAGCTGAGGCAGTCTCATAAATGTTGTCGCAACAAATTCATTGAGTCTCGTGCTGTGTGTGTTGTGGCTCCATCTTGCTGAAACCACACGTTCCTAACGTTCATTTCTTCGAGTCTTAGAATAAAAAATTCCTCGATCATGTTCCTGTAACGAGCTCCATTAACGGTAACTGCGCATTTGTTTTCTTCAAAAAAATAAGGACCAATTATTCCCATTACCGACATCGCTCACCAGACAGTAACTCGCTCACAGCTAAGTGGCTTCTGGTGAAGCTCCCATGGATGTACACCACACCAATAACGCAGGTTTTGCTTGCTGACGCAGCCGGAAATGTGGAAGTGAGCCTCGTCATTGAAAAAAAAACACCGCGTCTTCAGGCAGGTTGTCAACCAGCATTTCAAATGCATTTTGACGGGCAACAAAATCGCGTTCAGTTAATTCTTGCACAACAGCAAATTTATTTGAGAAACTTTGAGAAACAAACTTGGGAATTTTCCCCTTCAGATGCACTCGCCCCTCTACCCGACCAACTAACCGCACAGGATTTTTTTTCAAAAAAGTAAGTTTTGCTGGCGCACCCTGGTAGTATATATTTGGACGCTGTGGGTGCAAGTATTTTTCAACCAAAGTTCTTACAAACTTGTTAGCTTGATATGTGCTGGTGAGCATATATTACCAAACTCGTTTGATAACCGAAGCAATCCGCTGATCTGTGCAGCGCGGAGAGGTTCCTGGCCGAGCGGTGGTCATGCAAACGTTGGAGTCACCATGGAGCATCATGAGACTCTTGTATTGATGTGTACGGACCTCTGATGACATAGGTCGTAGCTACAGTAATACCGCCTCAGGAGACGCTTAAATTTTGCGGTGTCCATTAATAAGATGTCAAACGTTGATCACATACCGTTAAGTCAGAGCCCCTTAATTTTCTTGAAATAGTTCTATTTTTCAAGTCAGACAGTCCGAATTGACACTGCCCTGGAACTGCCTGCGAACTCGCCTGCGGACTCGAACGCCAAACCTAACTACACGCTCAACCTAATCACTCATAAGTCCATCAATTCTGAACGGATTTGTTTGAATTTAGGAATGTAAGTAGCTATTATTGATACACTGCGGTAGAAATTATCATATGTAGATTTTTACATTGATTCGTTTCCAATTAAACGTATAAACGCATTTTTAAAGCAAACTAATCACTCATAAATCCTTCAATACTCAACAGATTTGCTTAAAGTTCGGAATACGAGTATTCGTTATCAATACGTTGTAGAAGGAATTATTACATATTTTTATATTAATTCGTTTCCAATTAAAACGTATAAACGCATTTTCAAGGTAACCTAATCACTCATTCTTCAATACTTAACGGATCTGCTTGCAATTTGGAAAATAAGTATCTGCTGTAAATGCGCTAGTTTAGGAATAGTAATTTGCAATTAAGGTGAGGAAATTTGAACATGGTCACAATAATTTCGAATTGGCGCATGGTATTCACGCATTGGGTGTGTGTTAGTTATGTGTGTTTGCCTAGTCCCGAGATGCGATAGTTCCTCAAAAGTTGTTTATGTTGTTAAATGGGCCTTGCATGACCGATACTTCTGAACCGGAGACCGTGATCGATATAATTATTAGATTTAAATTAGAACAAGTATAACCTGGAAGCTGTGACGGCTGGGTATACTTGATCTAATTTAAATATAATAATCACGGTCTCCGGTCAATTCAGAAGTATCGGTCATGCAAGGCCTATTTAACAACATAAACAACTTTTGAGGAACTATCACAACTCGGGACTAGGATCCATCCTATGTCCCCAATTGGCTACCCGATAGATACTTATTTGATACCATGTTGTAAGTTTGTGTTATGAAAAATAGTGTTTGTAGAGTAAAGAATGTGTACAAGAATGTGTGCCGCTTGAGATGATAAATATTTTACCGTGAGCTAACGGCTGAGACAAGCACGCTGTTGTCCACTTTAGAGACTTGAACAGTGGAAACTATTCGTTTGGAAATGGCAGAACTTTCTGCTAAAATTTCATCGAGAGATGCGTACAAAGAGCACTGGTAAAAGACTGTGTGGCATTGGTCAGTTGACGAAGTGCCATGATAGAGGATTAAGCTTGATGAGCCAAAAAAACTTTAGGTTATAGGCAGCAATGGCCAATGGGTAATAGTAACACTTAACTCAAGTGCACTGCAATACTAATAAAAGCAACAATAAAACTTCAACAATCCACGTGCTAATTAAAGAATGTGCAAGCAAAAATTATCATTTATGTACTTTTCCTCAACCAATGCCAGAATGAAACTAAAAATATTTATAATGACTAAAATGCAATCGAACCATGTGACAATTGAACAAGAAATAATCATGTAGTTCAAACAAGACAATCATTTAAACAATCAAGACAAATCAAATAAATTGTTACGCAGAAATATGCGAAGAACCATTAACCGGAGTCAGGTGCGTTGTGAACAAACATAAGTAACAGTAATGCTAGAATTTGAAAAAATCAATAAAATGACCAAAGGAGAGCATAAAAATGTGGCTCTAATTTAGGAGAGCCGACTCACCAAGACTTGCAATTCCAGGGCTGCTTAGCACACAGAATGACAGAGGCTGCTAGTTACTAAATGCCGGAAACTGTCACTAATTTGGAAACGAGTACCGCGAAACAAATGAAGAAGAAATTAATTACTTGAATTCAAAATTACTGAAAAATAATGCATTAAAACACAGATTGATAGAGTGTTAAATGGCAGTTGCCTTCCGGCAATAGAATGACAGCCCACAACACCGATCATCGGGGTACGCAGCCGTGCACCACTAAATTTGAGCACCAATCAGCCTTGAAAGAAACGCCTAGCATATTTCCGGATGACCACCAATAAGCCGCGGATTAAGCCATCCGTCGGTAACCAGCCCGTGACATCATCTTGCTATATTAGGAGCTTTACGCCACCACATTCTGAAGCGGATAGCCCAGAGAGTAATGGTTATGCACCACTGAACGTTGCATCGAATCATCACTTCATACCCTGACTTTAGCTCGAACTGTAACTTGCGGACAACGGACTGCGACCAACCAGCCAAGGTCACCAGTGGAACTGCATGCATCCTGCCGTGCACCACCAGACTGTTACTTTTAGCTCAACATCCGGGGTTCGGTTTCAGAAAGCATAGTTCTGTTCCAAACTCTATCGTCCGCCGGCGATTGACTTCCGCAGCTTCGCTAAATTACGTAACTTTTAGCTCACAGCATCTGGGGTTAGGTTCCAGATAGCATAGTTCTGTTCCAAAATTTATCGTCGTACGACGCGTGGCCGTTCGACCGTGGGCTGATTAGACACACGGGACAGATACGGACGGCTCCGGCGCGCTCCGTCCGGGTGGTGTAAAATTTTTTAGCGTGTTGGCAGACGACGCTGGGCCATACGACGCCAGGCTTACTTTCCTGTAGGCTGGTTGATCTAATTCAATGGTTGTGATCTGTCTGGTGGCGTGCGGCTGATTACCAATCAGCCCGTTACAGTCTGATTGGTGCCGCACTGACTGACCCGTTACAGTCAAGATATGTTGTAGGCTACGTTCTTCAGGGAAGGGATCATGATAGTCCATTCGAAGCACGGCAGTGGTGGTCTCCGACAGGCGTCCCCGATCATCGCACATCGGTCATATCGATCGTAATTCGCGTATATCTCTGACGTTAATCAGTCATCGGCCACACCGATTGTAATTAATGCGCGTATATCTGCGCCGATAATTGCACAACTGTCATATCGATGGTAATTTGCGTTTTTCTGTGCCGATCATCCCACCTCGGCCATATCGGTCGTACAACGCGTAAGTCCATGCCGATCATCGCGCAATCTCGATGCGCATCGCTATTGTAGTGCGCGTAATATAAGCCGAGATTAATGTTACGGCAAGATCTTCTGGTGACGTAAATTTTGCTATTTTTGTGTCATCAAAGTTCTTTAGAAAAAACATTTGGCAAGAAGGATTTTTGTCGGAAGAGTGGAACTAAACTGCAGACCTTCAAATTTTGTTAGAAGGACATATTTGTGAGTTGCACAATTTTTGAGCAAACCGTATTACATGACTTTGGAACCAGGTGTGCAATATGTATATCTACTGTTCGAGCCGCGACTGGAGCTTTTCCGCCACTTGGGCATCAAGATTTCATAGGTATTGAAATTTTTTTCTTTTGGAGGCGTGAGATTTCAGCAACAGGTAGGAAAAGATCAATCCTATTTTGAAACTCCATGTCTTTCATATCGATAAAAAAGTATGGCTTTGGAGCCGTTATATTTTAGAAAAGAGTAGAAGTGAAGACCACATGTTCAAAATTTGATTTACCTGGAAAAATTTACTAGCTGATCTGGCGATTCCGGACCAGCGTGTTCGGGATACAGAAAAGTTAATCTTTCGATATGCATTTTATTATGTTTCTTTAACGTTTTAATTTTTAAACAACAATTCATCGATTGGTTCGCATGAAAAATAACTTTTCTGAGACCCGAATACGCTATGCCGGGATCGCTGGCCCTTTACTGGGTTTGTCGGACCTGATATGAATTTGTTCGAAAAATGTCGATCAGTAAAAATTTTTTAGGTTTTAAGGATGTTTCAGATCATTCTAAATCAATTAGAGCTATCAAAAAATCAAGTTTTCTCGAGACCCTGATGAGCAAGTCGGAGTTCTTGGAATTCCGTCTTTTAAAATTTCGTTTGCAAAATATCAAGTTTTCTCGACGTTTCAGTTCAGTTTTTGTTCGCAGTTCAGTTTTTGCACCGGTCCATTGTACTAGATTAGGCTATTCTTTAACGCTGACAATACTTCACTATACCGAGAGTCCAGAACCCAGACGCGAGGTAGCTACACGCAAATAACCTAGACGCCAGATTGCTGCAATTTAGTTGACGTTAACTACCCGCCAACAACCCAGGTGTTTGGAACACGTCAGTAGCCCAGACGTCGTCAATGAGGTGAACGTCAGCATTCCGGACCTTCGCTGAAAACCGTTAGGTATGAGGTACGTCTTTGGCTACAGCAGCGCGAGGCACGTCGTTGTCTGCCCTACAGGTGGTATCCTACCTCAGCGAGGCGCGTACATACATACTATACATACTACCGGCGCCAGCAGCGGGGGGGGGGATGTGGGTGAGGTACAGGTGGGTGGCTTAATTGTTTTTTCGAGCACACCCCCAACCCAAAGCTCTCATTTAGAGGATACTGACCCGGAAAAATTCCCCATGTAGCGGCAAAAATTTTACTGAAGACTCAAATTAACACGCACTAAGAAAATATGATTCACAGTAGTAGTGAAGATCGGAGCTCGAATAACGAAAACTGTAGATTCTCAGAAAACATTCTGATGATCATAAATGACTACGATGATGTTTGTCAGGGATATTTCATCATTCGCAATTAGAAGGTTTTGCTAAAGTTGGGTTAAGTGCTGTTAAATTTGAGAATTAAAATAGCTTAGTTGACTCATTTATGAGCGATCTTCTATAAGGAGCTTCTTACTTCAGCAACATGGATACGGACAAAAGATATTTACCCCCAATCAACGTAACCCGTTTACCTACAGCTCGGTCGCTACCTGCAACTACACCCTAACCTTCGGAAGATGGCACCTTTATGTTTGTACCCTTCCCTAGGGGGCAGAACAGAATGATGTGATGAGTAATGCCTATTGCTTGAACTATGTGGTGGGGGTCTGGGGGGCGTGAGTTCGATGCCCCAGCTAAGGTAGGAGGTTTTTCAGAAGTGGCAACTTCGTCAGAAGTCCCAGCCCGGGATTCGAAACCTCGACTTCCACATCCATCCCACTAGCCCAAATTGACGCCTTTAACCACTACACCAAACTGCCCCAAGATGGCACCAAACTGCCAGAAAAAAAAACAAACCACTACACCTAACTGCCAGACGTATCAAAGTCGGAAAAGTTCAAATGAACGTATAGGTATGTACATAATAGATGTCCGAGGCGATTCATGAAAAGGCTATAGGCTAAGCCGCCAAGGCAGTTAAGAAACCAACTTAAGGTTTCTTCCCATTATTCTTCTTGTAAGCTGCAGGAGTAAGAAATAAGAATCTTACCGTGGCATATCACTGAACATTGAATCTAAATCAAGATTCACGCTAACAATCACGACTAGGTTCATTATGGGTAATCAGAAAATAAAATTATGACGCCTACACGGGTATATGAACGTAAAAAGTTTACACAGAATAAATATAAAAGGATTCTAGAAATAAAACACTCACAGCAGCGATTCGGATCTCTAGGCGATGTAGTGAAGCGTCGACGTATGAACATCAGTCGGAAACTCTCTCGATAAACTGGCGGGCTGCATCCAGTTGCCCGTAGCCCGGTTCCGCGAAATGTTGCCACAATAATTTATGTGACGCACAATGAACCGTGGGCGCTGTAATATTTTATTGTGGATAAGTGACACACAATCTTTCTAATCCACAATAAAACTTACAATCAAGTACAAGCGATCGTTCATTCATGTATTAGAACCCATTTTGAAAGAATGATGTATATTAGACCATTCATGTATATGAGTGGAGCAAGGGTATTATCTCGATTTTTCTCTCTGGTTTCAATTTAATAAGTAATTTTAGATTATATCCAATTTCCGAGTTCGATAAATAGCAAGAGTTTCATTCCCAAATCACCTGCTTGTGATTCAGTATTGCAAAATTTCATATCTTCTATCTGGATCTGACGATCGACGCGAAGCATGTAAACTTGAGCGTAAGCAGTTTCTCTTACGCTTGTCATCTCCATTCACCCAAGAGGTTCTGGTGTGCTTGTACACCTCCCCTTATTGATCTGTAGGAATAATGAGTGAAGAATTCCGTTTTCAAAGCTATCGTTACTCCCGCTCATTGCATTAATTGTAGTTGAGTTCAGTTACCTGCAGGTTCATATGCCAGTCCTTTATTTCCCCTGATGTTTAATCATAAGTCAAGTGTGTTTAACATACTAATAATTTCATTATTAGAGTTAGTTGTCATGCACTAATGTTGTTAATTTTAGTTAAAAATGTAATAACATTTTCATTATAAAAACGTAATATTTTTGGAAGTAGAAGTTATATAAAGAAGTATTTATTTAACTAGTAACGTTCGGATCTAACGAGAACATGGATTGTTCAATGTGTTCAATCAAAATTTGTACGACTGAATATAATTGGATATTAATGTTAGGAGAACACGATAACTTCTAAATCTACAATATAGCCTAGAATGATCTAGAATTGGATGATGCTTCCACACTCTCACTTGCACTATACGTAGCGCGCTAATAACTCATTATTTGCAGGATGCAGAGCGTGTTGGTGCAACGGCTAATGCTATCGCCGGCGCGACATAGGACTCTCATGGAGAAGTAAAATCGGTGAAAGGTGATATTATTTTATTGAAAACGATAAGCGATATGTTCCGCTCAAATGCGACGGCTCTGACCAAAACCAGCTCCTGACTCCGCTATCATCGTATTTGACTCGGCAGGGACTCCACTATAATGGAAAATGCATTAAAAAACAATGGCTTGTAATTAAATAAGCATGATATAATAATTGTCCTTTACAAAGACTGGCAATTAGATTGTATGCTTCATTTAGTCCAGGGACCGCCGTAAACGTTTAACTTGCAGAATTTTAATGAATTTTTTGAAATTTTTTGTTTCACCCGTCGGCAAGACACAAAAGATGCTATGCACAAAACAAAAACGCCATAAATTGAAGGAATACTTATTCATCTCTGGAAATAAAGGCAAGAATTATTCATGGTAAGTCTATAGCAATGAATTCACAGCTCTCGAGAAGAGGTGCGAAGTCAAAGCAAATATCTTCTGTATGAGCAGTTGTTCTGATCTGTAGTCATTGAGCTTTGATTGATTACTTTGGCCATAGAGCGTCAGCTGCGACATGTGACTTATGCATGGCTGCTAAAATAAACACAAGAAAACTTATTATCTGAAAAACCATCAAACTATTTGATAGCAAAACAATCGTGTACAGGTGCAAAGATAGTTCGTTGACACACACGTCAACTAAAATTAATGAAACCGCATTTCCTTATCATAACATTATTGACTCAAAGTTCATTACTGAGCATGTCAATGGATAAAAATCGCATTAAGAATGACTAGCATCGTTCATCAACCGCCATCATTAATGAAGTTGAAAACCATTACTGGACCAAATAAATAGGAGTAGCGATCATAGAGATTACAATTTTAAATTATTAACTTTAGACTCGGCGGAAAGTAATTTTTAGGGAACACGGTACAGTGAATGCATTTTACATATTCATCGTTTGAATGTTGCTTGATATTTCAATTTGTATTTTTTGAATTTCTTATCACCGTAAAACTGGACGCGTATATTGGAAGAAAAATATACATAAAGAAGCATTAACATACTCATTCAGGACATACTCATTCTATTGTACAGCTAACTTCTGCCATAACATTATGACTTTGACTGATCTCATTATTTTATGATTAAAATTAAACCACATGAAGTTAATGCAGTTTTTCATACTATTATGAAATTATTATGAAGCAAATAAAACATCTCTTAAATTCATTACATCTTCATTGAAATGAATTTGAAGACCAGCTACCTCATCAACTCAGAATTAAATTATACTAGTGTAATCAGCATTGAAAATAAAATTAACACGTAACAGATAAAACCTAAGTAACGAAAAACTGACAACGCAACAATGAAAACTTATATTCTCTAAGTTTCAAACCGATGAGGGAGTTGGTCTCCGAAACGTTATCAATGCAAAACCATCATGGTGGTTTTGGTGGATATATGGTGAATTCACTTGGCGTTTTCTTTGCGTTAAATTCTTGGTCAACGTACGATTTGAGCCGACTAATGATAGGAGAACTTGAAATAATCGTTGTAACGCATGCTAATAATCTGCCGCAACCGTGGCGTCAGCTTGTAAATGTCGTTTTCATCGTTGCCGGCTCTCTTAAAACGGGTGGCGCGAATTCATGTTCTGTTTAATATAGAAACAAGATGTAAGTACGCACTCATCTTCACTTTTTTTACTTTTTAAAATTTCAACATTGATCCGATCCGGCAGAGGGATAAGCTCATTAAATTTTCTCATCTGGCTTGTGTTGAAGTGCACCAACTACCGCAGCTCGGTTAAGCAATCTTCCCACGCAACGAGCAAAATATACTACCAAAAATAAGACTCTAAATGATATATTTCCATGTAAGTGTCGTTCATTCGTTATATTATTGATGTAATATCTATTTTTCAAAAATTATTAAGATAATCTAGAAAAATTTCTGATGATCAAAGGAATTTATAAACGACATTAGTTTCTTGAAGCAGTTCAGATTTTTTATAGGGATTCTTATTCATGAAAAATTTTTTAATTTTCTTATTATTGTAGTAGATCAGAAATTATATTTTTTCGTTATCTGCTGCACTCTTGATATTATTATTATGGATGATTAGCTGTAGGACTTGTTTATCTACTTTCTAGCCTATGTTCATTGGGTTTGGAAGAAGATTGTTTCGACGGTTTTATTAGATATTGCTTCATTGTTGATTCCGTTTTTTCTCGATTGATAATTTGGTATTTATGTGTCAACAGTTCTATTTGAAACCCATTATTTATTAGGTTTTGTTTACAAGTTCTGAGTTCAAGTTTCAAATCACTCTCGGATGTGCAGGTCTTGAATGCTCATTGTATGAGAGCGCGTACCTGCAGTGCTGGTCTTATAGCGCTGAGGGCATTCACTTTCTTCGTTTAGCATTTTTCCGACATATGTGTATAGGCAAGTTTTCGGTAAACATTAGTGATAAAGCAATTATCTTCAATTCGCGCTAATAGGAATGGCAATTTGCAATTTTGTCCAATTTCATGGATAAACTCCAAGACTGATCCATATTCCTAAGTTCGGCGAAGTTCCATCAAGTGCTCTTAGTCTGAATGGCACGAAAATGTCATCTACATACCTGCAGTAAAGCTCAGGTTTGTTCTGTACATTGAGTAAAGCTCAGGTTTGTTCAGTACATTGAGTAACGCTCGATTTTCTAGTTCACACATATAGAATTCTGCAAAAATTGGACCTGAAGGCATCCCTTGCTAACGTAGTTAATTTGTCAGTAAAATTTGTTACTGTATCAGGGGTCCAGAAAGGAAATTCCGAGGTATAGAGACGAAGAAGGTTAGTTAGGATCTTATTTGATATATGTTGGTGGGGCTGGCAGGGCTTCGTACGAATATACATGCTTCATGATAATTTCTAATGTTTCTTCAGTTGGTACATTAGTGAACAAACTAGTGACATCCAGTGAAGCTAGGAGACCAGAAGGGTGCGACGCAAGAATCTCCAAGAAGTAATTTCTAGATTTCAGAGAGTACTTCTTTGTGATATATAGTTTAATTACAGCGTCCATTTCTTTAGAAGCCTGGTACACTGGAGAAGTAACTTGTGAAATTTGAGGCCTTATAGGGGGGCTGTCTTCCTTGTGAGTATTAATGTTTCCATAGAGGTAGCCCGGAGAATATATCTCCCTATTGGGAGCTATATTCTCCGGGGCAAGTTTTTTAGGTCATATTGCAGAGTTTGCTGTGTTAATTAATTTATTTGCTCTCCTCTGAAGTTGTTCGGTTGAATCTCTCGCGACATGACTGAATTTGGACTCGTCCGATAAAATTTGCTTTGTTTTTTTTTTTTTTCTGAGAGATAATCCGTTTAATCCATAATTACGAAAGTATTGTTTTTACCTGCTTCCCGTATAGCAATTTGGTCGTTATCTCTGAGTTGTTTAGCTGCTTGACGTAGTACCGGAGTTAAGACAGCTTATGTCGATGAATCTCTTTTTTCGGTATAGCTGCAGCTCGCAATTGATCTTTCACGTTTGGGCTGATTATTGGAGTTATAACTGTGACATTGAACAGCCGTTTTTTCTACCAACAGAGACGAGCTCACAACCAGACCAGGTCTCAAAGCATTATCAACAAGCAACTTCATTTCAAAATCGTCGGTGAATTCAACAGGCTTCGTGACGGCCTTGACAAAAACGTCAAGGGTGTCACCAAAATACAACCTCAAACCACGCGCAACAAGGGTCCCTGTGAAAACGCGGGAGTTATCCGAGAGGCCGGTGTAGGCTACAAATTTTGCCTATAAGAAGGTTGTAGACTTCTTAATGGTTTGGACTACATCGGACAAATGGGACTAACAATCAGGACACCGAGCCGCTGTCTCATTAGCTGCCTTCACACTGGAGGGCAAGTGAACCACATGAGATATATTTGAAGATAATCTAGAAAAATTTCTGATGACCAAATGAATTTATGAACAACATTAGTAAACATATGCAGGTTTAAGGAAGTAATTTTAATTTAATAACGACGTTTCGACTGTAACAACATTCAATTTGAAGTTATAGAAAGCATTGAATACTGAAATTTTGGTGGAAATAAGTACATGATACATGTAAATATGGTACAACACGAAAATTTGGAACCGTTAGAATACCTCCGAAAAAAACTCCAAACTCTTAGGAAATCCGCTAGTAATGAGATGGATAGCTGGAATCCAGTGCAGAGGTGAGACCTTCAACTATCGTCGTTCGTATGATGTCGGCCACTCTGTGAAGACGACGCTGTTGGGTTCCTCCGGCACAGAGGGAGTGACAGTCTCGTCTCGTTGAGTTGGACGTTGTTGTCAAGGGTGTCACGGAGCCAATTGAATTCATCGCGGATCTTGAGATGAAGTTGCTCGATTATAATACTTTGAGACCTTGTATGGTCGCGAGCTTGTCTCATGTGGCAGGATAAACGACTGCTCAATGTCGTAGTAATTACAACAATGTAGTCCTCTTTGATTGACGTGCGGTTGAACTCCCGGAAGGAATTTCTCCGGAATTCATAATATACCGCACTAATTTCTATCAAAATTTCAGTGTTCAATGCTTCCTATTACTTGAAAATGAATTTTGTCACAATTGAAACGTCGTTAATAAATTAACATTTTTTCCTAAAACCTGCATTTAGATCAACCAGCGCCATCTGAATAATTTTTCGACCAAAAAAATTTAAATCAATGAATATGTATACATATAGTTTTGCAGGTACTGACAAGCTCGCCCATGAACGTCCGGGAGGCTTCTTCCCGCTGCCTTCCGCTCGAGGCTTGAATGCAATCTCTGGGCAGCTTACAGGAGCGGTAGGCCTGGCCAAGCAAACTCTTGTCGTTCTCTCAGGAGACTATATATAAAGTCGGCAAGGTGATTCTAACTAGTCGCTGATTACGATCGGAGGGCAAAGCAGACCGAAAATAACTCTAACCCAACTAAGGCGAATCTGCAACGGAGGGTTAGGCATAAACCAAATTTTGTTGGGGAACCAAGTTTTGCTTTGGCTCCGTTGCACTAGTTGTATCAAGTGTTTATATTTATATATATATACATTACATTACATTACATTATATACATACATTATACATTATATATTTATATATACAATTTTATATTTGCCAAATAGGGTTTTTTTTATTGAAATCTCAAGTTCTTTCTCGACTGCTTCGAGACGACTGTCTGTCTTGAATATATGACACCTTCTTGCCTGTGATGCATTAACAAATATTGTCATAAATATTTTCGAGCAAATCGAACACGAGGTACATGGGCATATAGAGTCACTGGATGTAGAGAGAGCGTGAATTTTTGGTGGACGTTATTCGAGATCACGATGTTCTCAAGTAGTGTTAGTTCTCTTTTTGCTATTCGTGCGTTGTAAATTTTTTTTTGTAATTAATGAGCGAAAAGAATTTATTATAGCCGTTAAGTTAGGGCCGTATTTATGTCGGCCGAATTTAATTAAAATAAGATAAAATAACTATAAACCTTATTTAACTTTATTACGTTTTATGAATATCGATATCGCAATGGGATAGGGCGACGATTACTGAACTGATTCCAACGGTGCAAGCACTTCAGCGATAAAATGCCAGTGAATCTCAATGACATCGCTCTACAAAACAATTTTCTGACAAAACTCAATATTTTGCCGTCTCTACGCTGGTTTGCAATATGTGAAGTGCAAAACTTGATACTATGATGTTTTTTCTGAATCAGGCTAAGGCTATCAAAAACTGAAGTCTATTGTCTAAATTTAGCAAAAATTGAAGTCAAAAGACATTTATTGGAAACTAGAAGGTTATCAAGGCATTACCCGGGCTTGGAAAATTATTTAGTTCTGGAATTATAATCCTGTCATTTTTTCTAATCCTTAATCTCGATTCTAAAAAAGCCTATGTATTCTGATCAAATAAAGACTCTTTAAAATCAACATTTTGTACAAAAGTTAGAATTTCTTATTTGCTCCTGTTGCGAAATATCTTGTTGCCACAACTTAAATATCTAACGTGAGCGGAAAAGCTTTTTAGTTATCATGAGTCAATAGAACTCTAAAAACTGTAACTCTGGCCTATACTGTTTCTATGGACGAGCCGGTTGTTGCTGCTGAGTGGCGACTATGTGTCATGAAGTAGCGTCATTCGAATCTAACTCACTGTCACGTTTTCAATATTGTCTTGGTTAACTCAACTGCCTCACCATTTAACATTAAACTTGCCTTTGCCATTTTTTGTAATCCTTGGCAGTTAACCACCAACGACTCCATCAAAATTCTCATCCACTGGCGTACTTACTTCTGGTTCACTTCTCACATCAGCAGTACCAGTACAAATGCGAAGTTTTTACTAGCGGGCCACCATTCTGGCAGTTATTTTTTATTTATTTATTTATTTATTTTTTGAAGAGGGTCAATGATTAACAACTTTTTTTCGCAACTCTGCGTAATCACACAACGGAACACAGATAAGAAAATAAACGAAGCCAGCTTATCATTAAACATGATGGTATTAAAAATTACTTGTATTTTCCACCAACTCTGATGGTCCCAATTATGTGCAATTTACTTGTTCTGGTGACACCTCGAGGTGCAGGGGTTGCAATTTTTTCTTTGGTAATCTCAAATCCAATAACGACTCCGCTTGAAGGAAATATACTATAAATAAGGGGAGGTGCTTATCAGACAGCAGTGCGTGTAGTTAACAGGCGATACGAAGAAAAAGCATAGCAAGGGTTCAAAACGAAAGATTTTCCGCAGCCCGCTACGCTATCTGAACTCCCATTTTGACACGCTTGCAGTTTTGGCACTCATTAATCCCGAGCATCCCTCATGCAGTTTTGTAAGATAGAATGTATATAGTAATGTGTATAGGAATATCGAGACAGCCTATGGATTGCAATGATTGTAACTAGCATGCAACCCAGAATGTCACATGCTAGAGTGTATATTGTAATGTGGAATCGAGCCATGAGGCAGCTCATGAATTATAAAGATTAATGCTGACACTATCCGCTGATAACGTACAATTTAGAATGATCATGCCGAGGTGCAAGTTCAGCTGAACACGCTCCGATTGTGATCATTTGCGATCTAAAGTCATCATTCACATCATCAGTCTTGGCGTCTTTGCAAATATGGAGCATCTGTTTGAGGGCTTCGCCACTTCACCTGAATCAACGTTGAGCAAGCAGGAGATGGTCTTCTCATCAAATATACCCCCACGTGTGATGAAAAAATTTTTGTTCTAACGCACATTGAGGTTCTTATAGAAAATAATTTTCCATGGAAAAAAATTAGAAATTGAAACGTAATTCTGTCATCGTCGCTTATATGTCCACTTCATTTTTAATATTTTTAATTTTTTTCAACCAGAAAGTTCAAATTCCCTTAACAAACAGTTAAATCTAAATGTCAACATTTGATAGTGGAGCTAGATGCCACTAGCTGTGGTGACGGATGATCTCTGACAGACAGCTGTAAACACACGATCGACAAATAAAACCAACTGTTTCAATTATATCATGAAGCTATAAAGGCAGACCATGTGTCGTACCAAGTCACAGGACATCTAGCAGCCTTTCGTTCACGACGCATTTTGCCTTAGCCTTTTGCCGCGCCTTTACGACTACCAACATGAAAAAATCTGTCGGTCTTGTCCTTCTTCTGATTGCAACCTTTGCCTACTCCAGTGTGGGGTCTCCTGGAAACAAAAAGGGAACCCCCCCAATCAAATATAAATCACCCGGTGTAAGGTAAGTGAACTCAGCAATTGCATTCTTGCGCTGTGCTCTCCACTCCTGTTCACCTGTATCCTAAATTATTAGATGATATTGCTTTGTGCTCTAATTTTAAACAACCATAACAAATTAATGCTGAAAATGTTGCTAAATCATTGCATTTAGAGCTATGGATATTACATGTTTTCCTGACTAAAGTGGGAAATGTTTATCTTATGATGTTTCTCGCCTGGTGTACTTATTCGTATTCATTTCTCTACAGCACTTCAGAATGTAAATCTTCAGTGGCGATGATCATATTTGAAAATCAAGACCTCAAAAATGCCTTGAGCGCCTGCAAGTCGGATCCAAAGGGAAGAGCAGCCTTGACTGCCCTCAGAGGTCAGATCTCGTAAGATTAATTACTTTCAATCGGTTGATCTGAAATTTCCTACCATTGCGCTAATCTATGGGCAATTCACCCAATTGATATTTTTTGTTCCCAAAACTCAGTTCTAGACCTTGTATTTTTAATTATTTGTGTTATCTAGAGACGTATCTTGAAATAGTGAGTGGAACAATCACAAATTCATGAAAGTTCTAAAACAATAAGAAACCATTTACGTGTTTTGCAGCCCAAGCTACCTGCAGGGACTACGAGTTCAAGGAGGACAATGGCGGCAAGTGCAATGAAGTTGCAGCTCCCTACATGAAATGTGTAGCTGGAAAACTTGGTTACGTAAGTCAGGAAATATTGCTTAGATGCCTTTTCATCGTCTGTCATGAACTCCCTTTTAGATATTAGCTGACACTATTTGAGGTGTTGACCGTTACGGCTCATAATGTTACCAACGCTGTAGTTAGTGTTCCATCAGAGATATCTATTTCTAACAATTTCCTTAGTTATTAAATTATATTATGAAGTTACAACCTTTGCAAATGTGAATATAGCACTCATTCATTTATTTGCAGTTGAAAGCTGGTGGCTCCATCGACGGCGCTAAGATCTTAGACCGGTACAGGAATTACGCCGTCTCTCTCGGTAGTCGCTGCAGAGATTTGTACGACTCCGCTTTGGGGAAGTGTGGCACTACCATCAGCAACTACGCGGTAAATTTTTATTGCCTTTCCGAGACGTACACATAGTTATTTCATAGCAGAACAACGAGTTAAGATTATTTCGAACTGAATTTGTGTCAAATGTTAACTTGAAAGCCGAGTGATAATATGATTTATGAGTATGTAGAAACGTATGCAAATCATTCATAGTTCTTTTGAAAATACGTGTCGAAATGTCAGACCATCTAGCAAGTGTTTTTGATCTGGTAATCCCATTTTCTGATGGCAATGCGATATATGATTACCTGCGAATCTGTGTCGCATATCATTCTAACTCTCTCAAATTTCTTTGAATATTGTTGCGTAAAGTTATCGCTGAAATTCTTAGCATTCTTTCACTTCTATCCACTACAACTGAAGCAGAACTTCATGCCATGAACTTATTTGTTGTTGATAAATGAACCACCACAAACAGTTCCTGGGGAAGCTCAAATGCCTCACCACGGCGATAAACCAGTCTGGGTGACCTGCACAATCTGGCCCTCATTCCTTCATCTGACTGGCGGCTTTGAAGTGTTCACAACAGGTGCACAATAATAATTAGGGGACCACTTTTTCCAGTCGATGCATCCACGTGCTGTAAAAATTGTCTAATCCGAAGTTCATTGTAATTTGTGAAACAATAAATTCAATAAATCCTACATAAAATCATATTAACAATTATTGTTCTATTCAAAAGTGAAATTGAAACACTTCTGAAGAAGTGAAGCATTTCGCATTGTACCAATATATTTGGTGTCAAGAAATTTCTATTTGATGCACTTGAAATTATTATAATTCGAGAGGTTCAATGCCATATGGCTTGAATATAAGTTTAAATAAAAAGGCGTGTTGCCAATCATTATAAACTTGAATATAATCAAAAATCATAATGTTCTTAGTGTTCTTTGTACTTCAAAATTAGTGACTTGTTGTTGTCTTTCAAACCTCTGTACCTGTTTTTTCTTCTCCTGGCAGGTTGAAAAAGTTTCTGAACACTTCAAAATGGGAACTTGGAACTTTTACACAGCTTGGACGAAATAATTTACAATATATTAGGTGCATGATTGTTGTTTTTATTGGCCCTTTTGTTGTGGATAAAATGTTGGGTTGTCTGTTGCCCAAATCTTCCCATGTTGAACGCGCATTCAAATCATAAGGTAATTAAAAAATTCATAAAGTAAATACACACAAGAAAAGTAAACACAAAAGACCCAAGAAACCAATGGCAATAGCTATATTTAAGTGGCGGCGATGCGATGCATTTAGTTTCGAGAGACACATCGCTGTCAGTAACTTGAAGTAAATTTCACGAACATGCATTTAGGGACAGAGAAATGTTAGAGAGACGACGTAAAGACATAAGGATGAAATGAGAACTGGAATGAAGGGAAAGAGAGTGGTTGAACAGAAGCCATATTTGTACATCGAATACCATTTGTTTCTGCAAGAAACATGAAACACACAGCAATCATTATAAATTAGAGCGATTTTTGAATCGATAAATGGAATGATGTTAATCAAGATGATCATTACTGGGATGTGCTCAAATTATATTAACATCAATGCAATCATCCTAACCAAAACTAACTTGTTGAAAATTAATTGCAACAAATTTTCATTGAGACCTGAATATTTCTGCGATTTGATGGAAATCGAGAGTCATCGCTACATCTCAGGCGGAATGAGTATTTCCTTACATTCTTGAATAGCTTACCAATGTTTGTTACATTGCTTTGAATCAATCCCTGTATGTTTGAGGCGATCGATAACTCTAGGGATCATATATCCCACACTCCTGGACAAAAAAATTATTCCGGCTCCGAAATATGAATATTGGAAAATATGTTAATCTTTGAGATTTACAGCCCCTTACCCTGACACTTCTGATCCCAAATCATATCTACCCATCTCCAACCTGTCGATTTCGTCGAAACTACACGAACGAATTGTGGCCCCTGAGCTGAACAACCATCTTCTGCAGTCCAGTCTCATGCCTCCATACTGCATATCGCCATCTCCACTCGACGGAAACCGCTGGGCTGAAGGTGCTTTCAGCCTTTCTGCCTGCAGTAGACCGCGGCGACATTGCGGCACTGGCATTACTCGCCCTGTCGGTCGCGTTTGACACAGTAGACCACGCCACTTTACTGCGTCGACTTGACGTATCATTTGGCCTGCGCGGCTCTGTGCTGCGGTGGTTCCAGTACTATCTCAGCAATAGATTCCAATGAGTTCAACGCAAGTTAATTACTGTTAATTCAATACTGTTAATTCTCTTCTTGCAAGGAATCTTGTGCGCAAAAAGATTGAATTGTACAAAATAACAAGTTAATGCCTGATTCTGAACTAACCATTGAATTTAATGAATATTTTATCTCCGTCGCGAATGACATAACTAAAGATATAGGTCCGGTGCAGGGTAATACGACTTGTGGTGTTACGTTCTGTGACGCGTCATGCTTCCTATCTCCTACCTCTGCATCTGAGGTAAAGAGCTTGTTACGATTGTGCAAAGGCAAGAGGCTTCACGTTGAAGATATTCAGCCACGAGTATTGTACGAGGTTGCCGATATTATAGCGCCTGTTTTAGCTCATATCTTTATTTTGTGTATGTCTACTGGAATTTATCCTGATGTACTGAAGCATGCTCGTGTCATACCGATTTTTAAGTCTGGCGACTCAAGTAACGTATGCAACTATCGACCCATATCTACCTTGCCCTTCCTTAATAAGATTTTTGAAAAAATTCTTCACTCTAGACTTACAAATTTCCTTGACAAATTTTCTTTAATATCTGATAGTCAATTTGGATTCCGTAAGGGCACCAACACTACAATGGCTATATTTTACTTAGTCCAATATTTACTTAAGGAATTCTATGCAAAAAATTACTGTATTGCTCTTTTTCTTGACCTGCAAAAGGCCTTTGATTGCGTGAACCATCAAATTCTCTTGAACAAACTCTACCGTTATGGCATTAGAGGGCCTTTTTATGCATTGATAAAGTCATATCTAACCATCTGAATTCTCTAAACTAGTCCTTGCTTTGATCCCACAACAAGTCAGCCCTGAATTCTCACACTGCTACGGGATCGTCAACACCTTAACTTATTCGACGTCCCACTCCCACACATTAGTTACTATTGTCCTTATTCTCCCTCTGTTTCCCACAGTAGACCTGAATATTCAGCCAAGATCCCTACAGTCACCCACCGACAGGGATGTGGGCATTTCAGGGCAGGTGAAAATGCGACGCAAGTATTCTTCTTCTGTGCCATCGTTGGACACTTGCGGCGTTCCGAGGGATCAGTCCTCGGCCGGATCCTCATCCTATTATAGACTGTCGACGTATTGCACATAATTGATTCACATAGTTTGAATCCGCAAATGTGAGCTGACGACACCTAAATTTATGACTACTGTGCATCGGCTGGCGCTGCAGCGTTGCAGGAACGGATGTCTGTCTGCATGGACGCCATCTCAGACTATGCGCTCCAATCGGCTCCAGCTCAATGCATCAAAAACGACTTTATTTGGTTTGCGACTGCTCGGTGTCATCGGTTCGCTACCTTGGTATTTTGTCGGACTCTGAATTTTTCATGAACAATCACATAGCCAAAGTCACCACCGCTTGTTTTGGCCCTCTGCGAAGAATGCGTGGCGTCAGCCGCTGTTTCTCGAGGCCCTCGTGGTGGATGCCACACTCGACCCGACTGGACTATAGAATAGAATAGAAGTGTCGGCGTTGAAGAAATAGGCCCATGGCTTGTTGCCGATTCTTGACCTTTTCGTGACTTGATTCACAAGGGATCCGGCCTTTGGAACCCGATCTTTCCATAGCTGACGATTGATTGAGATAGTTGCTGGACTTATTGCCTGGTCCGTAATTTGCGAGGCATTTTAAGACTAAACATATGCTCCTGCATAGCTTCGTCTAGTCTGTTTTTGAAGATGTTCATACTCGGAGCGTCAACGATGCTATCAGGGAGGCTGTTCCACATGTCGGTGACTCGAAGCGAGAAGAAATGTTGTCACATGGATGTGTTCCAACGCTGTTTTTTTAGTTTATAGCCGTGGTCCCTGGTGTTGGTTCTTGTTTCAAATTCTAGTAATCCTTCTGGGACCTTGTATAAGTCATGAGTATACTTGTATACTTCAATTGTAGAGGTTTGACACGCAGGTGTTCTCTAAACGAATCTGCTGCGAGGTCACGAGCGGGCTGAGCGGTTTTAGGCTGACCATTTGGTTCGTTGGCTCCCGTGGATGAGGTGAGGAGGTGTTAGTGTCCTGTTGTGATTGCCGGTTAGGCTCGGCTTGTGTGTAGGAGTCTTACATAGACGCTGTTAATATTGCCGGTTCAGAATTTATATGAAGTTTATTGGACTGTGAAGTGGGATTTTTTTCATATTGTTGCCTGGGAGATTTAATAGGATATTCTGCTTCCCAGGTGGGAGGGCCTTTTCTGGTGTGGCGTCGGCTTCTGAGAACCGACCGTGTTCGTCTCAGGCGTTTGTTCAGGGGTGTACCGTGGACGTGCACCGTTGGAAGAAGCCGACTGCCTCGAGTGTTTACCTGACGTGGGAGCCGACTTGGCCAGTCTGCCCCATTGGTTTCCTGTTTGCTCTGCATAGCCGAGCCGCGTTGGGCGCCTACCGTCGTACCCTATTGGAGCGCCTAATGACGAGTTAACTAGAGTCTTGAAGTTCCTAGTGGAGGCGTGACCCCCCTAGGCTTGCCTGGGTCGAGCCATCGTGTTCCAGGGCCGGTATCTGTGCCGCTTGGGGTGGCACGTTAATGTATTAGGGCTTCCCCTGAAGAGATACGCGGCTCTCGGGAAGTCGGCGCGTCTCGTGTTCAGTTTTGTGTAAAGGTCAATAGGTTTTAGAATTGTCGCGGGTCGACTATTTGAATAAATGGTTTTTAGTTAAGTAGCCGAGTAGTATTTAGTAGTATTAGTATTTATATTTGTAGTTAGTATTTATATTTGTTTGAGTTTCTTGTCTAGATTGAATAAAACTTCGGGTTGAATTTTATTCTTGTGCCTTAGTAGGTCTTATTGTATGCGTCATCCCTCGCTACCAGTAGCATCTCCTGCCCGGGGACATTGAGCGTTTAGGCAGCTCTGTTATATTTATTAATAGTTACCCGCTCTCCCGTAACACAATGAGGTCCCCACGCAGACGTCGATAACTGACGCAGACTATGGTAATGTCACACGTACTCTATGGACTTCTGACCACGAGACTATAAATTGAAATCCGTAATGGACGCTGCTCTGCAACTCATGTGCAATAAGCGAAAATTCGACCTCGTGACGCCGATCTTGCGTGATTTTCACCGGCTGCGCATGCAGCAGCGGACGCAGTTCAAGGTCGCTGTATTGACGTTTCAATGCCTTCACGGTCTGCCTCATCTCATGGAATGTCTGAAGGGCGTGTCGGATCTGCCTACTAGAAGACAATTGCGTTCGTCATCAACAGTGGACCTCGTCGTTCCATCTTCACGTCTATCTACTGCGAGCGACAGAGTGTTCCCGGTCGCCGCCGCCAGAATCTCGAACAGTCTGCCAGCTTCCGCAAAATCGGTTCCTTCGTTGCAGGTGTTTCGTCGACGTACGGAACTATTTTGTAGAGCGTTTGAATCAAGTGCTTAGTTATATTTATCCGTTCTCATCCTCTCTCGTGTCTTTTTATTTTTCTCTCTGCTAAAACTTTTACGTAACGTGCCCTCGAATTTCGTTTGAACCAGACGCCATGAAAACTGTTTCGTAGAATAATAACAATAATGGGCTATGTGGTGCCGCCTAACTATTAGCCGGGAATTTACTTCTCGTGTAGTTTTCCAACTGCTTTAATAATTTATTTTACCATCAAAATTTTTCTTCATTATCGTAATCATTTTGGAAAATACAGAAATAGCATTTATAATGTAACGAATGTGCGACACTTACATGGAAATATTTCATTTTGAGTCTTATTTTAGGTAGTGTACCTTGCTCGTTACATGGGAGGACTCCTTAACCCAGCTGCGGTGGTTGGTGCACTACAACACAAGCCAGATGAGT